ATCTCCTACTACCAAACCTTATCTCCTACTACCAAACCTTATTTCCTACTACCAAAACTTATCTCCTATTACCAAAACTAACCTCCTACTACCAAAACTTATCTCCTATTACCAAAACTAACCTCTTACTACCAAAACTTATCTCCTACTACCAAACCTTACCTCCTACTACCAAAACTAATCTCCTACTACCAAAACTTACCTCCTACTACCAAAACTAATCTCCTACTACCAAACCTTATCTCCTACTACCAAACCTTATTTCCTACTACCAAAACTTATCCCCTATTACCAAAACTAACCTCCTACTACCAAAACTAATCTCCTACTACCAAAACTTATCTCCTACTACCAAAACTATAACTATAACCAGGTTTATTTATTATCAATAAAGTAATCATTTGTTGAAATAATTTACCATTAATGATACTTATTTGTGATTAAAACATTTGCAAACTACAAGTCTGCCTACGATGCTGATCCATACAAAGTGGAGCAATATTTTGCCTGCTTATAACTGATTATGATTAAATGCTGTGGAAATAAATCATGAAAGTAAATTGATTGAACTGTTTTTAATTATGACACTTCATGGTCCTCAATGATGAAGTAATTCTAGAGGGTTTGAGATTGTTCATGGCAGATGAAAACGAAAATTTGATCGATGATATTTGAGTAAAAACAGGCTATTAGCTAAGAAAACCTCATTATTGTAAGATGAAAGGGATGACATTTTTAACCGTTTAGAAAAATTAAGAATGAGACAAATTGAATTGTTTGTGAGAGATGATATGTGCAACGAAGATAAAAAATTGAGTACAAATAAAATTACTGTGAATACACCATGGTTTATCCAGGTCCTTGATTTTTGTAAGACATATGCAAGTAATCTGTAAACAGTATATGTAGTGGATGTGTAACAGGGCATTCACCAGTGACCAGGTACATTGTAGCTTACTTGGTAGTGTTTAGAGTGGGAACAAGTTTGTAGATTGAACTCAAGTTTAGACTTTGGAGGTTACTTCCCAGGGCAGATTAGACTTTGGAGGTTACTTTCCACGGCAGATTAGACTTTGGAGGTTACTTCCCAGGGCAGATTAGACTTTGGAGGTTACTTTCCAGGGCAGATTAGACTTTGGAGGTTACTTCCCAGGGCTGATTAGACTTTGGAGGTTACTTTCCACGGCAGATTAGACTTTGGAGGTTACTTCCCAGGGCAGATAAGACTTTGGAGGTTACTTTCCAGGGCAGATTAGACTTTGGAGGTTACTTCCCAGGGCAGTTTAGACTTTGGAGGTTACTTCCCAGGACAGATTAGACTTTGGAGGTTACTTCCAAGGGCAGATTAGACTTTGGAGGTTACTTTCCAGGGCAGAGTAGAATTTGGAGGTTACTTCCCAGGGCTGATTAGCCGTTGGAGGTTACTTTCCAGGGCAGATTAGACTTTAGAGGTTACTTCCCAGGGCTGATTAGCCGTTGGAGGTTACTTTCCAGGGCAGATTAGACTTTGGAGATTCCTTCCCAGGGCAGATTAGACTTTGGAGATTACTTCCCAGGGCAGCTTAGACTTTGGAGGTTACTTCCCAGGGCAGTTTAGACTTTGGAGGTTACTTCCCACGGCGGATTAGACTTTGGAGGTTACTTCCCACGGCAGATTAGAATTTGGAGATTACTTCCCAGGGCAGATTAGACTTTGGAGATTACTTTCCAGGGCAGATTAGAATTTGGAGGTTACTTCCCAGGGCAGATTAGACTTTGGAGATTACTTCCCAGGGCAGATTAGACTTTGGAGGTTACTTCCCAGGGCAGTTTAGACTTTGGAGGTTACTTCCAAGGGCAGATTAGACTTTGGAGGTTACTTCCCAGGGCAGATTAGAATTTGGAGGTTACTTCCCAGGGTAGATTAGACTTTGGAGGTTACTTCACAATTATATGTATGTAGGTCACGAATTAGGTTAATGATGTGGAGGACTCTTCACAGGTTCACATTTTAGAAGTAACTTCACACATTTAGAGTTTGGAGGGTACATTACATGTTCAGATCCCAGTATATGGCCTCCTCCAGTCACAATAAACAAACATCCATACATGAACTAGAAACCAAGGATGCTTTCGTTTATTACAATCCAAATGGTTGAACCAGTTGTGCTAGAGTTAGCATTGTGCACTTATAGAAAAAGGTCGGACCTTGTAATCTGATGTTTCTTCCAGGTGAGCCTTCACAAAGAATTGCAAGGCCTGCATAAACATTTGCAGGTCTCCCAGGATTTATACCTGAAAATGTTATATTTAAAACAGCAAACCAGTTGTTCCTCATAAACAAACAGGCCCAACTAGTTTGTTACTTGATAAAGACTTGAATGTCGGATGCCTTTTTATTTTGACTGTTTACTGTTTATGTATAAAAATGAACTTTGTGTTGCATTATAAACAGCACATTTGAAATATTTGCAAAAACATTTTCTTAAAATTTCAGGGATTTGGAGCTGGAAACTTCAAGTCATTGTTTGAAGCCATCGAGTTGGAGCAAGCAGAAAGGGGCAATCTGTGATAAGATGTGATATGATCAAGATAAGGTCATGATGACGTCATCATAACACTGCGATGATGTCATGATGAGGTTAGGGTGTGTATTGGTGTGAAGGAGATGATAGATGTAGCCGAGTGAAGGGGAGGCGACTGTGGTAGTATGACAGACTCGTATATATAATTACATATCTTAAACAGACGTTCCTCTGTCTGCTTTCTTATGCACGTTGAACCTAATCAGAAATCAAAACGTTTCAATATTTTGATAATTATATGTATTATTAAATCAATCTTGTAAGTTTAATGGGTACTTTATGTATGTATTCGAATATTTTGCTTGGAATGGAATCATGCTGATAATGGTATAGCTGTTTTGAATTGGTGTTTTTTTCTTCTGTTAGAAGACAATATTCCATAGTGATCACGTTTTACAAATTTTCTGTTCTAGCCAATACCAGTTCAGTATTAATGTTACGATATCGTTTGTGATTGACAATCGTGTAATAGTTTGTTTGAAAATGTTGTAGTATTGAAGTTGCTGTCGGTAAAAGTCTGATTTTTCACCGGTATAATTTACAAGAATATTAACAACAGTATCGTAAACCTTTCCGAAGAGATATCATCATAAACATTTCAAAAACATATAATTTAGCGTCAGCTGTTTAACAGGTTTGGCCAATTTGAATGTATTGTGTCACACCAGGAAGCTGCTGTTTCCCCGTAAACTATCCCCGTCTATTTAGCAAACTGCTTAGTATAGCAGCCTGTTTATTTTACGGACTGATTATTTTACGGACTGGTTATTTTACTATGACTGGTATTGCTATCTGTAGTTTACTGCCTCACCTAGCTCTCTATGTCGTTAAGTTGCTTTCTGATAAACAGTCCATGAAGTTTTCTGGTATAATAAGTCTGGCATGAATCTTTTGTGAAAACATTTTTTTCATTAAATAATCTTTCTCATTGCTATAAAAGACATCTCCGTACAGATCATAATAAGAAGAGGCAACTACTGCTACAGAAGTTATTTACTTCAAATGTACAAACAAATCAAGCAAGTATAAATTGATGTCAACGTGAATGAGAGGATAATGAACTAAAATTTACATCTTTTATTTAAGTCAGAATGACATCTATGCTTGAATCAGAATGATAGCCATGATACTAGTCAGTAATCACAGTACCATAGCAGGGAGATTCAAATGAAGTAAAACCCGAGTGTGAGGCTTGATTTGGTATTTTAGTCCTAGAAATGAGATTCTGCTTACAGTTTTTATAACCTGATTGTTTAACCAGATCTTATGTCATTTTACTGTCGTCATATGAGCTACTTATATCATTTACAATTTTCTTTTTCAAAATGCTCAGTATTCAGAATACAATCATTAAATTTACATTTACATTTCAAATTGCATTTCTTTCTGCCAAGCGACTCAGAAACCATATTCTTTTCATATTAAAGTTTTCTATAGCTTTCGTATGTAGGGTTGAAAAGCATATATCCTTAATAATAAGAAGAACATATGAAATATGTAATTAGTTATACACAACACACATAAATCGTGTGCTGATGATATTTCTTAATGTAATTAGTGCTTAATGAAGATGACGTGTATAGGCTGTAAGCCTTGTGTCCAATCCTTTCTGTTGTCGATAGAATTTGTTGTAATGAAAAATATCTATTATTGCTTTCCTTTGAAACAGATATATTGTATCCAGCCATATTGATGATTTTTTTATATCAATCCATTATTTGTGAATATAGATAATTTGTCAATTTTTTTAATGCTTTACATACCAAAAGCAGGTTCCTTTTTATGTACAGTAGTGTGTTTAAGTTTGAGATTGGAATCTTGTTGTATCGAGTTTCAACAATACATTTTGTACAATGTTTAAGCTGAGTGTTTGACTATTTGTTTTACAAAAGTATAATGTTTGTGTATATTACATACAGGTGGCTTATTTTGACTCGCAGGAAAAGTATGTTTTGTTTTCAATTTTGAAAATTAAGACAATATCAATGATTTAAATTTGACAGTTACGTACCATGAAGCTGAAAAAACTTGGTATAGATGTGTCAGTCAGCCATTTTCATTGAGCTTAAAGCCACACAATCTGAAATTAATCTTCAATCCAACGGAAAAACTTTATTAATGGTTATTTTTTTTATCTTTTTAAGTCTTAGGACATGTATATGATATTTTGATTGATAACGATTAGAAAAATATCAATGATTCAAATATTAATAATCCATGCATTATTCTAATTAAAAAAAAACAAGGAACTTGATACAACAGATTTCTGGACACCCCAGCCCTGAGGCAGCTTGAAGGAGATGGTGTATACTGTAGACCTGCAGCCCTGAGGCAGCTTGTGTTAGATTGGGTACTGTAGAGATTCATTTGATTAGTGTCTATTAGTGTTGAGGAAGCAACATTCCCTTGGATTGAAAATTAGATACATACATTATTGACATATAGCCCTGTGAATATAATCAACCACTTCTCTATCAAACAATCTCAAAGACAAATGGGTAGAAACTGGATGACTTTCATTGGTAGACAATGCAAAGTAAATGTGAAACAAATCTAGAAATTAGGGATTAAAGCAGTTATGAATTTGGATATTGAAGAACCTCCAACATCCCTATACATTCTTGTGTATGAGCTGAGAGTGTGAGAGCTGTAGGATTGTATGATGCTATGTAGATGAGAAAGCATATTTTTGGTCAGTTTCATTATACCTGAATGTTGATGTTTAAGTCCCATCTTGTTACCTAGGTGTAATAAGATTTTTCTTCTTTGAAAAGCAATGTTTCAGTTTTCTTTCTTAGTAAAACTTATTTTCACAGAATGTATAATAAATTCTTTCTAATTTTTTAATTGTGCTGTTTGAATTAACCTCAATACTATGACTGTTTTGTCATTAAGTAGTACAGTGATTAAAGGCAATAAAACTGTAAGTTTAACTTTTAGCAGTGAGGTATGCATTTGTAGTTAAAAAAGAGGATGATGTATTTTGTATAAACTTTAAATTTGATCAAATATCATTTGAAAATGAACAAATATATGAGAAATGGTTGTAATTTAGTATAATCATTTTTTTTTACATGCATTGATGTATGTACTGTTTCTGTTGGCTTCTAACTAAGCCTACATCACATTATGATGGAATATGGATTTATATTACGCTTTCATACATATTACTTAAGCTCTCTAAAGAACATGACCTACAGACAGGACCAATCGGAGTTTAAGTACAGTGACCAACATAGGAACTGTGTACCAGGTAGATGATACCGTGAGTGTGGTATAGGTAGAAAAAGAAGCTTGGCAATTCCTCTGTAAACTCCAATTGATGACCATCCACATCACACATTTAAGGACGTGAATTTAATCACAGAATCAAATACAATTGCTATCAGACTCCATTGGTGAATTAATACTTGCCTGTATAAGTTTAAATGATGAAAGGTGTTGTCTAAATATTGCATGAAGTCATTTTGTGAGTAATTAATGAACAAATAAAACTGTTTCAAGGAACTCCATGATGAACTGGCCAGCACATTCTATTGTGGTAGGGAAATCAGTGATAAAAGTTCTTTTCTAGGACAATACAACACAAGAATACATTTTTTTTTATGAATCTCAGTTATGTTAGTCAAGTATTACTCTGTCTTTGTTCATACTGTGTTAATTCCTTTTGTGTAAAGTAATGGTTATAGTTAGGTAGGAATATTGCTGTACCATTAGTATTATGTATTTCTGTTTCCTTTTATCATTCCAGTAACACAAGTATCAGTGATACAATAAACATAAAAAATCATGACCATTGCACATCTCACCATTATCTACAAGTAATCAAAGACACAAACATATAATGGTATTATTCAGTCACCTGTGTGTGTGTATTCTGTTTATCTTTCTAATCGACTGTACATAAACCTAAATCGCACATCCTGTTGCTCATTTTATTTTCCCTGTCAAATTTTTCAAAATTTCATTTTGACAATTTATAAATAAAAAGGTAAAACTGCAAAAATTAATTCTTAAGTCTTAAGGAAGATAATTTTGGAAGCTTGCGAGCGAAAATGTAGTATTTATTTTTTGCGAAATTGGGCATACGCATGCTGTTGTGATCAGCAGATGAAATAGTGATGACAATTTTATTGTATTGGTATTGTGCATCGTATACCGCTATTGATGATCATTATGGAACGCCAAATTAACATTTATTCAAATAATTGCACCTATCTTCAAATAATTCAAGATAGGTACAATTCAATTGAAGATAGGTGTAATTCAAACAAAAATAGGTACAATTCAATTGAAGATAGGTTTAATTCGTCATATTTGAACCTATCTTCATTTGCATTGTACCTATCTTCAATTATTTGAATATCTGTTAATTTGGCTTTCCATATGGAATATGTATATATATATATTCAATTAATTGTGCCTATCTTCAAATAATTGAAGATGGTACAATTAATTGAAGATAGGTCCAATGCAATTGAAGATAGGTTCAATTCAATTGGAGATAAGTTCAATTCAATTGAGTGTATGTTGTATTTGTACATAGGTTCAATTTAATTGCAGATAGGTACAAATAATTGTACTTATCGTTTGTACCTATCTTTAATAATCTAAAGATAGGTACAATTGAATTTAACCTATCTTCATTTAATTGTACCTATCTTCAATTGAATTGAAGATAAGTATAATTAATTGAATATATGTTAAAATTTGGCATTCCAAACATCATTGATACCAGAGACGTATACGTCTCTGTTGATACCAACATATACACGTTTTCATAAGTAACAGAAAAAAATAAAGAAAGACATCGCCAACAGCTTGTTTCAGCCAAATTACTTTAACTTAAGTTTAATAAGTAGTACGGATGTATGTTGTTTTCTGCTTGTAGTTCTCTCAAAGATCAATCGGGAACCGTCGTCACTCTCCGTAAACGTTTACGGAAAGTGCCGACGGTTCCCGATTGTGCCAAAGGTCATCCTTACATTGTCATTTATCATCTCTAACAGGTGGTTTGTAACCGATACTTTCTACACAAATTTATTAATATTATTGGTTGAATTATTTTGTGGTGTGAAATAAACCCGGAGTTTCTAATGGAATCTGTCTAGAGTTTATTTTTTTGTTGTGCCTTTCCATTTTAGTTCATACATTAGGTATGGGTTTGAGATGTAAGCTTTTAGATTGTATGCCTTTCCATTGAATTTGACAGGCAATGCAACAAGTTGATTTGATTTTTCTTGCATATGCAATAGGAGAAAGAGAACTTCAACGGCCAGACCGGGAATCAGTCCTGAGACTCTCCAAACTATAGACGGACGCTCTATCAATCGAGCTACCTGGTCGCCGACGATTAACCAAGTCCAGTTCCACTACATTCCCCCCTCCCTTTTTAAGTCTACGCCCCAATCCTATAGAAACACGTTTGAATAAATAGCCATTACGTACACAATATCGAAATGCGTTAATAATCTCAAATCACTTGTGAGTTTGGCTTTTTAGATTATTGGTGTGACGAGCTATATCAGTATGGCTAGAAAAAAACACCAAGACCCGTATTAACGGTCATAGAAGTCAAATGTATTAAGAACGAAAACTGCATCTTCTGACGATACACAATGCTATTTGTCATAAAATTAAGCTTGTATTTTGATGGGATGAACTATGGCGTAAATAACGGACTTCGAACAACAATACTTAGGATACAGCGTTCTAATGCGTTGAAGACATGAAAATTATTTCTTCTTAAAGACTACAATTTCTACACTGGTGATAGATAAATGGCTCGTTATTTGCATGGTGAATGTCCGTTTTAATTCTAAATATTGATACTAAAACTTGGTTTTGAATATACTTTAAATTACCATTAAATAACAGTAGAATGATACATGACTCGTTGGCCTCTTGCTTTTATGTGAAGTCATATTGTCCGGAAGTTGAATTTTCGATTTTCGTATCGCTTTCCTTTTTGTCAGGTGATGACGCTGTGGTATACTATTTAACTGAAGGAAGTTAAACTTTACTAGTTACTTCCCTTCTTCCACAACAACTAAAAGTCCCGTTCTTAAATTCTTTTCATTTGCATTTTTGGAGTTCCGTAGATTTTGAACATAATACACGGTCATTTTTGATTCAGTAGAGTTTAAACATAATTTGACTGTCATTAGGAGTAAACTAGACTTAAATTATAATTGACTGTCAATTTGAGTTCAGTAGGGTTTAAACAAAGCTGGTTGTCTTTTTTGGTTCAGTAGGGTTTAACATAATTGACTGTCATACTGAGTTCAGTATAGTGAAAATGAATCAAATTTCATTTTGAGTTCGGGGGTGGGTTAAATAAATGTACAGGGATTAATTGAATGTCGTACTGACTTCAGTATAGTTTAAATAATTCGGCTGTCTTATTGAGTTCAGGATTTTTTAAGAAGGTACAAAACATAACTGACTGTCGTATTTAGTGCAGTATAGTTTTAATAACTTTAGTAATCATTTTGAGTTCAGTAGGGTTTATACAATGTACAGGACATACTTGAATGTCGTACTAAGTTAAGTATAGTTTTAGTCACTTGAATGTCATTTTTAGTTCAATAGGGTTTATAAAATGTACACAATCTACCGCCATTGTTCCGCAGGGTGTTTTATGTTCCTAGTTATGCCGGAATGGCATACTCGCTGTACGAGCTGACCAAGAAGATCACCGATTCCCTTTGGAAGGAGGAATACCAAAAGCCCTTTGACGAGGTTACGGCTACTCTTACGAGTGCACAATGATTTTCGTATCAGGATTGTTCGGATGGGATCATCCGCAACACCGACGCTTTCTTCAGTCTAGGATCGAGAAGTTAGAGGTCGAAAGAAATACTGCACAACGTGAAAGAAATTTAGCTGTAGCAAATTTCTGCAGGCATTTCTGTCAGTATCTGTCGGATAAGAAACTCACCATGCATTCGTTAACTTACCACAAGAGCTTAGTGCGGCTTAATCGATTCATGAATATAGAGGGACAGCTTGCCCGATTGCTGCAATATAAGTAGAAGATCAAAAGATCCGACTAGAAGAATGTCCGAAATTGTTAACTGGCTGAATCTCATATATAGAGAATCCCCTTATGCAAGCCGCTTTTGCTGTCTAAGGACCTAACAAGCAAGAAAAGAAGATATGAATGCATTGATTGCGCACATCATAGTGACGTGGCTGGACAGTAAACTGTATAAGAGATAGAAAAAACCCTAACCAAACTGAAAGGATACGTCTGATCGAACTCTTGGTAATATTCGAGTCTCCACAAATACAAATTGACCAAGGGTCGACTTTAAAAAAATACTAACCATTATCATTCATATCACCCTTCCTCTATTCGCCACTTGGAACACCTTAACACGATTTACTTGTGTCACACGAAACATGATCCTTGGTAGAGAAACATTGCAAGCTTTGGATCTAGTGCAGGTCATTCCAACATTTCCATCAGGAGAGGTACCCCACGAGTGGGTTAGATATTCGGTTGATTATTGGCAGAGGTGTACCCCAGTGTTGGACAGTACATGGGGGAAATTACAGAAGAAGCAGAATATCACACCCCCTTTATTTGAGCTCTAAACCCGTACCGTCATTGCTGGGACAGTATTTTGTCATGGATGTGACGAACACATGACTAGGCCGACCACTACCCCTGTAGCTACGCCGCATGAAACATGATATGTCTTTCAAAGAAGTCTTAAGATGAATAGGATAAGGTAAAAAAAAAAATGAGAAAAAAATCTCTGTATTCCAATTCATTATTTGCGTCTGGGATGGGGCTTTTGAAGCGTTCCCCTTTACAAATAGAGCTTGTTAAATTCACTGGCCTCTTGCATACTATTCATATACATCTAAATAAAATGAAAATTATTGGAGTTTTTTTGTAGCACATTCATCAATCATCAATTTTGAAACACTGAAGATAGGATTTTCATTTATTTTACCATGGATAAAGCTAAATTGACAACCGCGAGAATGTGAACAAAAATTGTTGATATATGCACAAAGAAAAAAGTTAAGCACCCCCACGTTTTTTTGAAATGACAAATGATGCGAGTAGTGTCATACGATAACGGAACAAATAATCGCAAAAATACTAATTCAGCCTGTTAGGACATTACATTAGCTTTAAGCCCAGTTATTACACTAAAACATGTCCATTTTAAGTGTCATAATGCCCGATAAGATTGTCATTTCACTTAGGAAACGTCAATTTTAAGTCACTTAACGACATCCATGGTTCAAAGTTTAATATCGAGTGAAACCACCACGTGCTTGGATGCCGGCCTCAACCCTGCGTCTCATCCCTCCAGTCAGTCGTCGGATTTCCTGCTGTGGTAGCTGTCGCCATTCCCGATGCAATGCTGCTTCCAACTGACGTAAGTTTTGTACAGGAGGTTCGTCTGCCTGTACACGACGGCCTAACATGTCCCAAACATGCTCTATCGCTATCTATGGCTTCCATGGAAGAGAAGTCACTGCTTCGCCTTGAAGGTAGGCGGTTACCGCCCTTGAACGATGCGGCCTGGCGTTGTCATCCATAAACACAGGTCTTGCAGCTAATGGATGGTTATCAAAATGGGGGACAACAACTGCCTGAAGAACTTCTCTGATGTATTGATCACCATTCAGGTTTCCTCGTAAGTTCAACTTGCAATCATGAGAAATGCACCCCATACCATTACAGAGCCTCCACCATAAGGGACAGTTGGTTTGATGTTCCTTGGGGTATATGCTGTATTTTTCTGTCTCCAAACTCTCATTCGTGCATCTGTTACATGCAGGAGAAACCGGCTCTCGTCCGACCAATGGATCTTGTTCCAGGTCCTCAAGTTCCAACCACGTCGTGCCAAACGCAATCTTTGATGTCGATCAGTTAACATGGGACGTCTAATTACCCTCCTTGACTTCTGTCCTGCTGATTTCAACCAGTTCTTCACTGTTCTGGTTGATAGACGTCTATAAGGTAACCATTGTCTTTTAATAACAGGACTAGTTGCAAATGGCATTCGTCTAACTAGGCGTTCCAGTGCCCTGTCTTCACGCTGCGATATTACGGATCGTGGCAAGTCTTTGACGGTGTTGGTTTGGATGTGTTTTCTCACAAGCCGGCTGACTACAGTATAATGATAGCCCATCTGACGTCCAATAGCTTTAAAGGACATCCCTGTTGACCTCATGCCGATAATTTGCCATCTTTGGGCCTCCGATATTCGTCTTCGTACCATGTTCACAGCGAATGAATATTTTTTTCAAAACGCCGCACTTAAATACCCAAATTTGAAGCGTGGGCATACTGAAATTTGGAAATTGCATGGGAGGCATGGCTCACGTGCAGAATACCTCAATATCTAAATTACCGTTAATTTGTTAAAATAAATATTTGCATTTGAATTGAAATATGTGGTAACATACTATAATTCAATATATCAGGGGGTGCTTAA